CCCGGGAAAACAAGGTGACCCGGCTGGGCTGGTAGCTTAGCTGCACGCCAAAAAAAATGAACCGCCGCATTTTCTTTTTTCGCGGCACCGCTCGTCATTTAGTTCCGGTATGCCCGTCCTGGGAAGTCACGGCGTGATAACAGCTCCGTAGGAGAAAAATGGCTGGGAAACGTACCATGGTAACCCCGGACCCGGACACCGGACACTTCCGGACTGTCTTCCGGACCAGTGTCTGGACCGGTCCAGACTGTCCGGTGATCCGGACATCACCGGACACCAGACAGTCCGGACCGGTCCCCGGGGTGCAAAAATGTCCGGACAAAAAGGAAAAAAAAAAAAAACGGGGGTGGGGGTTGGGTGGGGGTGTTGGCCTGCTTTGCACTCTGTACTTCAGACAGGAGAGCACGTGTCTTGCAGCAAATCAACCACCACATTTAACTAGAAGACATGCAGAGTTGCAAACAGCTGTCTCTTATACACATCTAGATGTGTATAAGAGACAGCACACACACACACACACACACTGCTGGCTGATGAGCCCAGAGCTGCAATACCAGTGATAGTGAAAAAAACTGAGAGAAGTGAGAGTACCGGAAGGCAAATACAGGAAAATCTTCCACCCACAACAACGTATTTTTTGGCTACAATTTTATCAGGCAGAATGGGGAGGTTTCATTTGCACCACTCCTGAGACTAAGTTCCATGTACCAGATTGATGAATCCGTGACCGTCGATGACGAAGATCAACCACCAGGAACAAGGAATCCAATTAGGTGGGACCTTGCCCTTGGTCTTGAGTCTTTGACAGCTCATGACAAAAATATGTGGGCTCTACACCCCAGCAGCTTCTCACCAGGACCTGTTCATCTGGAGGCACTGAAGTTTTTTTTTTCCGGAAAATAGTGGGCCTCCGACCTTTCCGGAGGCCGAAACAAAATGACGGCTGCCGATTAGATTTATCAATGGCAGCTGTCGTCGGGCCCGGCCCCCGAATTCTTTGGGGACTGGCGTTTCCCTCATTTCTAAAGCAGCGAAGGTACTACCGGTAGTGGTTTAAGATATCATCTTCAAAGTTCAAACTGACCGTCCCCAGATAAATTCGAAGTTATTTACTTATCTGAGCTGATTGGGATTCGAACACAGGTCTTTATTTCAACAGTTCATGAATGTATCAGTACTATCAACTGAGTGTTTCCCCTCCCCCCACCTCTCCCCTCCCCCCTTTTTGAAAGGTTCCTTCTATCTGAGTTATTTCGAGTTTGCAACTTTGCAAGCCATGTGTCCCTATGGCAATGAGCCAGAGGGTTAAGGTTCAAAGTTCGAACCATGTTTTGGCTTGAGAGTGTGAGTAAAGGTTCAGTAAACATAAGGGCCAGACTTGAGGTGTAGCGCACTCAGCCTGTGACCTTAACCCTATGGGTCTACCCTCTTCCACCCCCCCCACCGTCCTGTCGTCACCCCCCTCCATCGCCCCGTCGTCACCCCTGTCCACCCAACAACGCATGCATATTATGACCATCTATCTCTCCACTTCCTTGCTCTGGAAATTATGACACTGCAAGAATGATCGAGGATCTATACGATTCTATAGATTCTATACTGTCCAATTTGGTAATTCAGAAACTTTTCTTTTTTTGAATTACCAAACAATCCGGACCTTCCAGACCGGACATCTGGAGTCCGGACTAAATCCAGACCGTCTGGACAGCGGTCCGGACGTCCGGATGGTATCCATGAAGAAAAGATATAGTGCTTTTTCATTTTTCCTTGTGCTTTTATTCCTGGTGGTTGACAACAACAGGTTTCAATTTGCATCTGCAATCCTCAAGGTGTCCTCATCTACCAAGGTAAGGTATTTTTACTATTTTGTATTTTACTATTTTCGCTTGTTTGCTGTTGGGGATAAGGTCTTTTAAAGGTTTAAGGGGTTTGCGACTGGTATTTCGGGAAAGCACCTTTCTCCAGGGCTTAAACGGCCCAGATGACCATTCGAAGTTAGGTTTCCAGGGTTTCCAATCCACCATCACAGCCCACACGTCCTTGTCCACGAACCCTATGCTCCCACCTGGCTGGTACATCAATCACCTGATGTAATCGTATAGAGGCGGCAATCAGGCAAAACTCCCAGGAGTTGCACCCACGCCTTCTCTCATCATACATCCCCGATTCAAAAGCCGGCCACATGCAGATCACAGCTTGAAAGCAGTGATGCTCTCGTGCAGGGCACGGCCCTCTTTCAGCATTACTGCACCGACCTGTATGGTTCTCAATATGCACAGCCACATCCAACACCAGACAACTTGCTCCCTCAGCAGGAGACAAGAGTAAAGAAACACAAATCACACATCTATTTCAAACACAAGCCCAAACAGCAAATAATTACTGGATTTTTGGAATTTTTTTTTTTCCCTTTTAAGTTTTAACCACTGAGACATTGGTCTTGCAGCATCATTGATTACTGATACAGAGCGTCCTTCGGGACATCCATTAAAAATGGAACGATACAGAGAAGATTGGCATGGTCCCTGCACGAGGATGACACGCGTAAATCGAGAAATGGTCCAAGTTAAAACAAACAAACAAACAAACAATATACCTTTCTCCTGTGTTGGGCTGTCGCCCGGCACGCCCGGCCAGGCCCGCCGGGGCCAGTTGGGCAGAGGGGGGTTCGCCCGGCAAAACCAGACGGGTCAAAAAAGAGGCAAGGATCCAAAAAAAAAAAAAAAAAAAGACTTCAGGCCAGGACTGCACTTGGCCTAAGCAGTCAGAATCCAGTCTTAACTTCGGTTTTGGTGATGGGTCATTCAGGGGAGTTGGGGGGTATAAACAGTGACTAAAGGGCTTAAAACTTTAAAGGGGTGTGTGGCCGTGTGCCATAATCAGATTTTGAACTTTCTTTGCGGCTTTAATAAGGAATTTTGAGATGACCGCCAACCAAAAGTTGTTTGATGTGCATTTCCACACAACGTAGGTTTTCTTTCGTCAGATCTTTTTCGGTAAGTTCAGATTTTTTGAATTTTGAATTTTTTTTTCCTTTTTGCTTTCTTGCTCGGGCTACCGGAAACCGTGCCCGGGCCTGGGCCGAGTGCGCAGCTGGTACCGCAGGCGGCACATTCATTCAAATGGAAGGTTTCGCATCCAAATTGAAGTGAATCTTCAGAGTCCATTTAGGCATCCCGCGATGATCCCGGCCAAATTCCAGAAGGCATACTCAGCAACACTTTTCTGTGAGGCACTCGAGCAAATGGACGCATGAATAAAGAGCAAACTTCACAAACTTAGAAGCATTGAGCACGAAAATAGTTTCTAAAGCCCTGGCGAATCAGATGGCGGAGGTCCTGGAGGATGTAATACACCCAGCCCAAACAGGGTTCATGACCGGTAAAACATACAAGAGAACACCCTGTTGGTAAACGAAGTAGTCAGTCTGGCACGTAAGAATTGGGCAAATGCTGCCATTATTTTCATAAACTTTGAGAAAGCCTACGACCATGCTGATTGGGATTTTTTGGATAAGTGTCTGGAGAAAATGAACTTTGGACCGGCCTTCAGACGCTGGGTGAGAATTCTGCACAATAATGCTACTACGTGTGTGCAGGTTAACGGATCAGTGGCACCTCCTTTTGAGCTCCAACGGTCGGTCAGGCAAGGAGACCCCATTGCCCCCTACCTCTTTCTGGTTATAATGGAGGCACTATCCACTAATCTAAGACACCATAAGGACCTCACCCGGATCAAAATCGCTGACATCCCGGAGGAAGCCGTACCCGTTTGCTCCCTTTTTGCGGATGACCTCACCATTATGGTGGAGGCAAAGGCACAAAACATGGAAGAAATTTGGGCTCTCATGAACCGAATTTGTAGGATTTCTAACATGACGGTTAACTGGGGGCAAAAGACCATGGGCTGGTGGCTGCACCACCAGGGGGGAAGCCCCCCTGAGAATCCGTGAATTACTTGGTTACCCCCAGACGACCCTCTTAGAATCCTTGAGGCATTGGTTACAGCAAAGGGAAAACCACAAGTGGCTGGTTAAACCAGCACAGACCAAGCTAGCGAGCTGGAACAGTAAGCACACATCAATTTTCGGGCGGACCCTAGTCATCAATAACGTGGTACTGGCCACCCTCTGGTACAAATTCTTCATATGGCCCATGAGCGAGGGGGGGCTCAAGGCGTTGAAGCAGCAATTGGCGGATTTTCTATGGAGAGGAGACAGTAACAACCCCCACGCCATCAATCGAGTTGCATGGGAATCAGTGATCCAGCCCAAGGTCGGAGGAGGGCTCGAAATTGTGGACCCCGCCATGCAGCTTCAGGCCCTCAGCCTCCGCTGACTCCAACAACTTATTTTTGTACCGGCCTCCCCCTGGGTTCCCCTCGCTTTAGCACAGGTCGCGGCCCTGGCCCCGGAGACTCCACCAGAGATAGACCCTCTGGTATGGCTAGAGGACAAATATTGGAAACTACCAAAAAAATACAGGAATGGAGGCCCGGTGGACGAGCATTGGTTAAGCCTTCTTCAAACATGGAGGAAACTCTCAATCCCCGACCGGTCGCTGTCGAATAGGTGGGAGGAAGTGTTCAGGCAACCCTTGTTTGGTAATCGGTTAATTACGGACTCCCTCGGCCGGCTGAGGTGCAGCTGGACCCTCATGTGGGGGACCTCTGGGATGCGGTAACTGGGGATTGGAAGAGTACAGAAAGAATGCGAGGATGCCTGTGGTATTGCCACCTAATAGAATCAGCAATGGAAGATCTCATTGAAAGTTTTCCCCTTCAATGGTACACCACTCTTAGAAAGGGCCCTTGCTTAGAGGAAGGGGACTGGGTAGGACTACGCGGTCATGGAGCACAAGTGGGTCATGTGCATATGGTGGACCATACGCAAGTGTTGATTAAATGTTTTGCCGCCATAGGGAAAGACCAGCTACTAGGGAGCCGTCAGCCTTTTATCTGGAAAGAGAGAAGGGAGGTCTATCGCATTATAGTGATAGAAGAGGAGAGGGGTTGGAGGGCTTATAGGCCATTGATTCCGATCGAGGATCTCCCTTTCGATCCCGACGAGTGGCAGTGGTCATGGAAAGGCCAGAAAATGAGGGGGAGGGTAAAACCGATAGCACTAGCCACCCTAAGAACTAAGACAGTATACCGTATGCTGAGACCGAGGCGCAGGCTGAAAGATGTGGTAGAGGATAGATGGCAACGTCATCTTAACATAGACAGGGGTCTGCTCAAGCCTGTTCAGTGGTTCAGAGAGTATGGAATGAGGCCGGCCAAAGTTTCTGCCCTGCAATGGCAAATTGCCCACCGATGCCTACCGACCAACGACTGGCTGATTGACCACACGCATTTGGAACAGCAGGGAAGGGCGCTTCCCTGGTGCCGGAGATGCCTCCAGAACTTTCCTAGCAAAAAGCGCCCCGAAACAGTGGAACACATCTTCTTACAGTGCTCTGCAGCCGTGCTACTGTGGCATTGGTGGGATAGGATCTGGCGGCACATTGTACCCGGTTCCTCATGGCCATGGGATTGGAGGGCCATGCTATTGGGGCACTGCCCCCAGTATCGAGGAAACACCTTTGAGGAGAACATGTATAGACTGGGTAGGCGCTCCATCCTATGGGTAATATGGTGGCGGAGATGCATCCTGGAATTGGAGGGGGCCGGGTTCGAAGAGGGGGAGGTCACAGAGCGAATACGGCTACTGGTTCAGCAAGAGATCATGGCACAATGGCAGGGCAGTGAAGAAAAAACTGAACCAGGCATGCACCAGGGTGGACATTGACAGAATCATCTCCCGGTCCTGTGAAGAATGGCTGGGAGGGAGACGGGGGGATTGGGTGGCAAAGGTGAGTTGGTCAGGTGACAGGCACAATCACCAACAGGGAGAGGGAACAGAGCTGCGAGGGGCGCAAAGGGTAGAATTATATAGGGATTATTTGCTGCTTTTTCATGAATGGACGAAGGTGGAACCCAGGCAACCGTTACGACCTGCCCAGGATTTCAATGACCCCTTCCCCCCCCATCCACCATCCCTGGAAGAGAGTCTGTGGGACGGTGTCTAATCATCATCTGGGTTTTTCCGCTCATCCGCTCATCTATCCCTCAGCATGTTCCTTACACGGACTTATTAAGTACAGGCATCATTGAGAATGGGCACAGTCAACTGGAGACGATCGGAAGGCGGGGAGATAGCCAGCTGGAGTCCCGGTGACCCCCGGGCCCGAGTCGGCAATCTGTTGCTTTTCTTCCCAGGCCTCTGATGACTAGTACTTCTCAAAAAACCCTGCGCAGTCAATCCCCTGTGACCCAGGGCAATCAATGCTGTCAGGGCCCAAAGAGCTCCAATTGATGACACACAAGTATTGATGTTCTCAAGGATGTATTTATGGGACGCTGGACCCGGTTTCCAGCAGGTGATGCTCCCCAGCAATAGATGGAGCGGCTCACTAGGCAAAGCCTCAATCCCAGTGGTTCTCTTACCACCACTGGGATAGAGGCCTTGCATAAGGCCTTTTTTCAAGTTTTTTGAAAAAAAAAAAATGAAAAAGAAAAAGAAAAGAAGTATTGAGCACGTAAGGCAAGGTATAGAGACTATTAGCGAGGCACTGGAGCAGTTAACCCTTTTCCTAATTGACTGAAGCGGTCAGCTCTAATGGTCGCCAGTCTCTTTTTTTTTTCTTTTTCTTTTTCTTTTTTTTTTTTAAGCAAGCCCAGGGTGTTGTAGAGTCCAAGAACTAGACCCACGGTGATCGCTGGCAGCGGCAGCCGATGATTGTCCTGACAGGATAGGCCACCCTCCCTACCGTTCCCCACATTAATACTCCCAGCGCACCCCCTACCCCTACTATCCTACCTCAGTGTGACCAGCACTCAGGACCATCACCCTACCAGTATCGACGGCAACTTGGACCAGACAGCGGTGACAAGCACCAAGGCTTTAGAACACTAATTATGGCAAGCATTGTGATGGCATAAGTTGCAAAATGGAAGTCAGAGAGGCAATGCAAGGTTGAGATGGACAGATCACCAGAACTTATGACCGTTCCCTTGCCGAGCCTGGAAACAGCCTGCGGGCCTAGGCTACCAGAGTGGCCCGGAACCACTTCCCGGCTGGGCCAACAAAAATATATATGTATACATCATCAAACAGAATGACAAGTCGGTGAAACTCCGACGAAACAGTTTGTCACAGCCCCTCGTTTGTTGTCCTCTTCTCCCTCTCTGCCTGCGGTTTACCGGGCAGCTCTGT